TAACAGGCTTTCCTCTTTTGTAGCCATGCTGAAGGAGGAGGCATGGAATTCGAACATGGATTATTTTCAATTTTACGTGCCCTCAATAGTGGCACTTAAGTGCTATCCTGCTTCTAGTGAAATGATACATAATCCGTGTGCATCTTTTGATCATTCATATGGTAAATTATTAGAGCACCTGGACATAGAGGTTTCTAGGAGTCTTTTATGCTCCAGTTTGCAATATGTTATTTTAAAATTATTTCATGCAAAAGAAAACATAAGAGCACTTGTTCTTACTACATTAATAAAATAATAAAGATGTAATATCTCTAGAGTTGGAATCTCGAAGGATCTCAATAGGAAACCACAGAATGAAGAGGTAGGAGACCATTGCTACTGAACTTTAAATTAATAGGTAGGAGGGTAAAGAACCACATTAGCAAACCATCAGGGGTAGGTATTGTAAGTTGCTTTCCCCAACCAGAAGCCCATAAGTTACTTACAATTAGACTTGTGCATCAGATTTTTCGTTATTTCGTTTTTCAGGATTTGGATTTGAAAGTCAATTAATTTCCCGATTCAGATTGGGACGTAATCTGAATAGTCATTAATTTCGTTAGCGCTAGTATCTATGAATTTTTGTTGCAGCAAAGTGACATTAGACAAAAGGAAAAAAAAAGGACATTTTTTATTTACAATACGCAAAAGAAGAAAAAAAAAAGAAGTGTGAGGTTCCGCTCCAATTGATACCAGACCCTTTAGGTCTGGTAGGAATTTTAAGGGGGAGCCCACCTACAAAAATGGGGAAAAAAGTGGGGTCCCCCTAAAACTCCTATTAGATGCTTGACCCAAGCACAAGCCCAGGAGGGCAGAAAAGGGGGGATGATCGAGGGGGGATGATCCCAGACCCTAATGGCATCCACGAGCTCCCGAATGCTATTGTGCTATATGACAGCTCAGAATGTCAAATGGACGGAACAAGCCCTGTGACGTCATCCCCCTTTTGTATGACTACCCCTTACTCATTCAAGAGGTGCCTCCTTAATTAAAAGGGTACACCAATCCCCCCCTGTCTGCAGTCCCGCACAACAACCAGGTCAGGGTTTTGGTAAAGAGGCCCTTGTCCCCATCGGCATGGGGACACGCTCCCAATGGCCTGGTATGGTGCAGATGGGGGCACTTGTTCGGCCCCCATTTCCTGCCCTGCTGGGCCTGTGCTCAGATCAAGGGTGTGATATGAATTTTAGGGGGAATCCCACGTCCCCCCCCCATTTGGGGGTGAGGTTTTCCTTTAAAATTCCTATCAGATCTAAAGGGCCTGGTATGACTTTTCGGAGGAACCCCACACACTTTTTCACTTTTTTATTTTTAACTTGGGGGTTTCTCCTATCATTCCTGCCAGACCTAAAGGGTCTGGTATCAATTGGGGGGAACCTCACGCTTTTCTTTTTCTTTTGTGAACTGTAAAAAGAACTACATTTCTTTTTTTTCCCTTTTGTGTAATGCCACTTTGCTTCCCTTCCCTTGTAACAAACATTCATACATACTACCGCTAACGAAAATTTAGATTTTTTTTAAAGTTGATGCCTAACACAATAAAACTTAATTCAGGAAAGAAATTTGGGTGCATCCAAAATTTTCATTATCAGAAATTCATATTTATATGCATTCGTTATTTCTGTAATTCAGGAATTCGTATGAATAATAAATCTTTCCGAAATGAATTGCAATGTCTACTTATAGTCTGCCACATTTCTATGCTTTCTTTGGAACACTTCAGGAAGTGTTGGAACAAGGTTCTCTAGCACCAACTGCAAATGTCATAAAGTGACCCCCCTAGGCTGAGATGTCTAGTGCTATGTTCACATATACAGTGGATGGGCATGTGCAGCAATGGCAACTGTTGTCATCCAGTCCTAGGTTTGTCCCCTTTTGGTATAAGGAAATTGAACAAGGTGGTGGGGAGCATGTTGTGGTGGGATTTAACCAGTGTAATTGACTCAATCAGCCGAGACAGGTTTTCAATAACCTTATGATAAATGTTAAATTGTTTTTTGACTGGCTACTGAGCAAGTTTTTAATTTATCAAAAGTGCAAATTGTATTCTCTGATATGTTATTTTTATAAAAACACTAAAATTATGTTTTTTTGTACAAAGCATGTAAAGTCATTTACATATGAGATAGAGGCTTTTTGAAAATTGCACTTGTTTTTGTAGCACTGCAAATATAAATGTATATAACATTGGCTAAAACAACAGAAATAAGTAAGGGGAGAAGAGGAGGAAGGAATTAATAGGAACTAGCTACAGATAATCCAAGTCTGTTGAGGTATTAAGGGTTAAATATGGGTAACTTTTATGTAAAAAGGTAATATTTTCATAATTGCAGATTTACTGGAACTGGCTCTGTGTGTAGATCGAAATATCTCTGATGCACATATACACACTTACAAAATATATCTTAATTATATTATTACAATTTATTTACTGTATGAATGAAGCCTGAAAGTCGCATTTCCATGATATATAAACTATGTAGGTATTATGGTATGTACCATTACATTTTTCCACTCATTTTTTAAACGCCTATGGGCACAATTAGGGCTGATTCATTAACACTGGAGAAAGAAATTAAATTCAAAATTGTTGCCAACAGTAACCTATCAAGTTTCTACTTATATTTGATGGAAATTGTTTGTAGTGCACAACTATATGAATGCTTGCTTGCCCATATGTGTTTAATCCTTTTCAAATACAGAAAACATATCAAATAATATTACATGATGTATTTTATTTTTATGGTTATATGTTACTTTAAAGAAGGCTTCTGCCATCTGTGCTATACTAAAATACTCAATGCAAAAAACATATTTTTGCTTTCAGGCTTACATTAGTAAAACATACGATAAAAGTGATTTAATAGTCAACATCTGGTCAGAGTAGAAGACATCTGTGGCAGGTACACATTAACAGGGAAAATTTAAGTGCTGCTGCTATAATCCTAGATAAAGGAATTTTATTCTTTCTGTAAGAGCTCAAGTTTGTTTCATCCTATCCTTTTCATCTTCAAAAGTTCTTTAAAGATGAACCGCAGCCGGTGTCTAAAACATATTTATGATTTAAATACATTAGCGAGACTTGATACATTTTATGCAAAAATACATAAAGCCAATATCAGTGTTTCTTAGGTATAGTTACAAAATAATTTTTTGTTTTCAAATGCTTTTGCATTTTGTCTATTTAAATGAGCGTCTTGTCCTTTTTATTGGACAGCGTTGCAAAGCCACAAGCAAAAATGTCTTTGCAAATCTTACAAAAGTAATCAGACCACTCATTAGTTTCATGTTGGTTGGTATTTTTATTTGTAATTTATAATATGACTTTTTTGGCTATGGTCGTATTGCTGCCCAGTAATCAAATACAGCATTAAGTGATAAGGCTAACTACACATATACATAGCAGACATATTGATGGAAGGGTTTAGTGATATCACTTGTAAAAGATAATGATATTTAATGTTATTATTCTTTCAGTTATTGGGTTTGGTGATCTGCGCTTATAGATAATATTCCCTACTGAGGGTGATAAAGCTGCCACAATATAGACAAACAAGTCCCAAATGTGAATAGCGATTGTGCGGCGCTAGATACCCTGGTGCAACTGATATTAAATCCATAAAAAACTGATATTAAATATAAATAAACTCAAATCCTGTGCAAATCATATGTGCAAATCATATGTGCAAAATCATATGTGCATATTAACATATGTACTAATAAAATAGTGCGAACAGTGTTGATCTGAGATGACCCCTTTTTGTTCAACACTGTTTGCACTATTTTAATAGTACATATGTTAATATGTACATATGATTTGCACATATGATCTGCACATATGATTTGCACAGGATTTGAGTTTGTTTATATTTAATATCATTTTTTTAAACATATTTAATATCAGTTGTACCAGGGTATCTAGCGCCGCACAATCGCTATTCACATTATTCTTTAAGTGTTTTTAATTTTTTATACACCTTCAGCAAGATCTGCCCCATAGACAGAAAATCATGACACCATCAGAAATTACATTAACAGACTTTCCCTTTCATTTTGTTGTCTTATACAGCACTCTGTAGCATGACTGGAAGTCCAAGGGACCTGCCATAGCAGCCAAAACATGTGCTGTCTAAAATGGCACTGTGGCAAAGAACAGCTACTGTAGTGCTGTTTGATATACAATACAAGCATCTATTTTGTAAGGAAAGATAGTAAAGGAAAATATGCACTTTGGGATGTGAGATATTTTTATTTTATTTATTAGTTGATGTGAAAATTTTTTTTTATTGCTGGGAGTTAAGGATTTTTAGTGGAATAGGCATGCAAAGTACCATAAAAAGTTCTCCCTCTTTCCCCCAGCAGTTTTTTTATTTTTTGAATACACTGGTGCATGCGCCATGCAGTGTAGACACTCAGCTCATTCACAGCATCTTTAACCTCCCTGGCAGTATGATTATGTCAGGAATTTTGTGCCAAAAGCGGTTTTTCATGGAAATTTGTTGTTTTATATTGTAGGCCTGTAATTCTTAGTAAATCTTAGGAATAAGTCACCTAAATCTGTTTCATGAATGGACCTGATGCTGGGGGTGATCATCAGTGGCCACCCAATGACCAAAGAGGATTTCCGCAGATGCTGGAATGGGTGTCAGCGGGGGACAAAATGGGGTACCAAAGATGTAAGGTAAGTGTGCCATACTGTGCAATAATGCTGCTTTGCACCATTAAGCCAATTTTAGAAATGTAATAATAAGCAACCAGCTGTTGAATACAAATAGGGTGAATATACTTTGAGTCATTTTGCTACTATTTGCTCCAGATTCCCTTAAATGGTTTTAAATTCTTCTGAACTTTAGTGAAGAGGGATTAGGGCAAAATTTTCTCATTCAGTAGATCATCATGTTCACATTCATAAACAGTGAAATGTAGCTCAAAATAATTGTTTCTCCTGTAATGTTTTGCAGTATTCAGGTTTCCACACAGAAAGATCTGAGTCGGATCATGACAGTCAATGGGGTGGAAGCCCCCTAACTGACACTGCTTCACCACAGCTTTTAGATCCTATAGAAAGACCAAGCTCCCAACAACATGAAGTCTCCTGTGCATATCGACAGTATCCAGACCGAAGTGCTCTGTGTTTTGGATTTACTCTTGACCATGCAAGATTAAGTGATGATAAACACCACCATAGTCAGTCCTGTGAGAGCAGTAGATGTGAAGCTGGTAGATACTTTCTTGGAAGTCCACAAGCTGGAAGGGAGACATGGTGGGGATCTCGTTCTGCTTTGCCAGTGCCAAAATCCTCTCCAGAAAGTAGAGATGGATATGAGAACTCTATGCCTCACATAACTTCAGTTCACAGGTTACATGGTAAGAGAAAATTGGTATAAAAACCATATCAAAGTCTAATGTATAATATTCAGATTAAAGTTCATAATATTCACATTTAAACACGAAATAAAAACTAGTGTAAAATGTGGGAAAAGTGTGTACCGTATGTCCATAAATCTAGTTTTTACACTATTATGTTTTCAGTGTTACTAGAAATGTGGTCAGCTGTACTGGACTTACTCTGCCCTTAATTCCTTCTTTACTGGAATGCATTGTGTGATCAGTTTTCATGTACCTTAAAGCTAATTTCAAGAAAGATATAAAAAAGGGAAGTCCATATGTATATATTTAATTTTTCAGAGCCCTTCAGCTTTACAGAATTATACCCATTAATGGAAAAGAGAGCAGAGTGACTAAATTATAAGCATTCTACTTCTCTTTAAATGTCCAATCATAGGCTAAGGGTGGCACGATGATGAGCTTTACTTTAAAGGAAACCTATAATAAGAGATATATAAAGTCTGCTATTCTGAGTTTTTTTTTGAAAAGACAAATGCTCGATCATTTTATTTCAAAGCTCCACTCAAAAGTATGAAATGCAACATTTAGTCAGGCTAAACCATTAATGTCAATGGTTAAAATAATTGCAGTCAAACTTATGTTTAGAATTTAGGTTCATTTTTGATTTAGCTAGAGAGCCATGATGTTGTTTTGATAATTGTTCATGAAATTGCTATTTTCTGTTATGCTTTATATTTGCAATACAGCAGTTTAGAACTTACTGTAAGTAAAATCATAAAAAATATAATTTTTATATTTTTAATGTAAACAGGGTAGACGACATAGATTGGAAGAAATGTTTACCATTCATATATAAACAAACTCATTGCCAAACTTTTAATGGTGGCACCTTTCACAGGAAAATGCATTTGTTAAATAAAATAGTGTACACAGAGATTTAAACCTGCTTTACTCATGTGTTGAGAAAATATAAAATGTAAAAGAACTGTAAATATAGTGTAAAGGCTAAGGGTAAATGTACTTAAAAATACTGGTGTTTCTTCTGGTTAATGAGATAATGACATAAAGGGACATTAACCAGTTGACATCCGCGGTGTTAAACCCCCTTCCCATCCAGGCCATTTTTCAGTATTCAGCGCTGCGGTACTTTGACTGATCAATGTCAAGATATTCACTAAGCTTATTTTTGTTGCCATTTTAGGGAGAAATCATTGGGAGGAAGACAGTGTGGTCAGTTCTCCTGATCCTGGTTCTGCAAGTGAGTCAGGGGACCGGTACCATAATGAGCAATATCAAAACAGTCACCATGAACCAAGCAAAATTGAAACACTTATTCGAGCAACGCAGCAAATGATTAAAGAAGAAGAAACCAGGTTACAGCTACATAAATCTAGCCCAGATCAGCTAACTACTATTAATGGAGCAGCAAAAAGAAACTCAGTTTGCTATACTAATTACCAGCAACCTCAGTCATCTGGAGTTTTGTGCCGAGGTCCATCTGTTGCCAACACATCTCCATGTGACCATCTACAGCAAAGAGATTCCAAAATCCTGAGCCCACATGATAATGAATATGAGAACAGTCCTACAAATCTTTCCAGAATAAGCAGTCCAAATTCAGAAAGAATTTCAAAACCAGGAGTACCTATAGCGAAAGACTACATAAATACCAATGTGTCTCCTCAACAGACAGTGGACCACTCTGCTTCACCAAACTACTATAGTGCCCATAGACCATATTTTGATAAACATTCTTACACTTTTACTGGTTATGCACTTGAACATTTATATGAAACTGAATCTATTAGAAACTATTCATTGGGGTGCAGTGGATCACACTTTGATGTGACTTCTCATTTAAGAATGCAACAAGATCCTTCTCAAGTGCACAAAGGTACATCAGTTATTATAACAAATGGAAGTTGATGGATTTGTTTAATATGGTCCCTGTATTATAATCTTTTGCAATAGAATTAAATGTAATTGTTACCACCATTTCATGAATTACAGTGCGCTGGACGTGGCACCAGGATCGATTAGGTTTGCAGTTTATATTTAGAACTCTGACTGTTCAACTTTGAACTAATGTTATTCAATGGCTGATCAATGATACCATTTGTGCAGTCTTAAAAATATAGGAATTTCAATGTAGCTAAAATACAAGTGTTTGCTAAATATACTTGCATGTACATAAACACCAGGTTTAAAAGAAAGAAAAAACTAAACTAAAACTATGCACAGAGGACTTGAAGCAAAATTGAATGTCTAATTTTATGTATACACATGCACAAATGCACATGTATTCTTTGAATGTTTAAAATATGAATAGAAAATCAAAATTAAGTGTTACTTTTCAGCATCATAATACTTTTTCTTGATGTACACTACATTTTTGTCTCCAAATTACATGAAAGGAATATTTACTGAAAAGGGTTTGAGGATAAAATATAATTCATATATCTGCTACAAATACCCTACCCAGTTTTACACATTCCCATACCTAGCTTTTTCATTGATGTCATCAGTCATGTTAAAGCCACATAATCAAGCCTTAAGTCAAATTATGATATGATATTTCCAGTTTATATGCAAACATAATGACAACTAACCAGTTATGTTATTTCTCTATCTACGCAGATTTTAAAAATTTCTGACATTAACTTTTTTTCTCTCTTTGATTATATGTAAGATACATTTCCATGGGAAATAAATGATTGCATGTGAACCTACTGCTTCAAGTACAATATATTGACATTTAAAAAGTATTACATGCAAAATTCTGTCCTCATATGCAGTGTAACACATTGAAATTGGAATTGCAGATTATATTTACCATAACCTTCCAAAACCTGTTTTTTTATTATAGCCCCATAACAATGTGTTAAGAGAGTACATAAAACTTGTAAAGCAATGTTACTTGTCTGGAAATGTAACCATGTCCATTTAGTTTGATTTGAAATATTTGAACAACAAAATGTCCTGATGAAAGTTGGTAACAGTTGCTTGGTCATTGCAGTAGATTTGGAATTGGTAAAAAAGCTACATAAATATTTTTATTGTTAATGTGTTGAAATGTTTTACTAAGTGTATAAAATTAGTTTTGTGAAAAATACCCATTGTTTTAATAGTTTTTCATGCACCAAAGCAAAATAATGACTAGCATAAAATAATACTAGCACAGCCCTATGAATCTATACAAACTACCTATATATATA